TTTAGGATTTTGCCCGGCCAAATAACTCCTAACGCCCACCGGTACCTCCACTCCTTCGTAAATATCTGTACCCATCTCAAAATCTTCCCTTCTTTGCGTCTTTTCCTTTTTTGCTTCGAAGTCCTACCGGGCGGGGCTGGCTGCGAAGGTTTTGTATTCTTCAAAGCCCGCACCGGTAGGAAGTTCATTTCCGAAGTCCCCCAGAGCAACCGGGGATGGAAGGAAAAGTTTGTTTTCATCGAGTTTCCCCCCTTCTTCACTCCTCTGGCCGATCTGAAATGGAATGACCATCTGCTCGACCAAGAGTACACTGCACCGGTTCCTCCCCAGACTTGGAAGCGAATCTTGAGGTCCTCGTGCGTGGGGATCCTTTCACCGGGAGGACGTTTCATTATGGCAGCTGGGTTTGGAGGGTCGACTCGGGTGGCGAGGGTACCTCCCCGGCCCATGACGCAGCGGGGCGCGGGGTACCCTCCCCGGGCAACACTGCGGAGGCTGAAGGCAACTCCCACCCAGGTACCTTTCAATTTTCTCGTGATTCGTAGTTGGCCGGCCAAAGTATTCGTACTTAATGGTTTTAGTTTGTTTTGCAGATATGGAGTTTGAAGAGTTCGCTATCCCCGAGGACCAACCAGCCGGGGAGACCGGGGGCTCCCAAGCCAATCCTGCCAGGACTTTCCCGGTCAATCCAGAGACCGTGGAAATCCTGGATGAGGATGAGCCCCAAGAAGACCGGTCTAAGGGGAAGGAGAAGGAGAAGGCCGGTCGCCGGGTGAAGAAGGTGGCCACCACGCACCCCTCCTATGCCAAGAAGAGGGCTCGGTCAGATCCTGAGCCGGCCGGCCAGACCATCGAAGAGGCCTTCGTCAACCTGGGGCTGAGGCTGAAGGAGGTAAGTTCTGCTGCTATCCCGGACTTGATCCCTCTTCGCTTATTATTCCATTCTTACCGAGCTTCTTTTCCCTTTTGTGCAGGCGGGGGAGATTGGACCCCTCACAGCCGACCGGCTTGGTTTAGGCTCTCCATCGGAGTTTGCCCGGCTGAAGAAGGAGAAGGAGGAGATGGTCCTCATCTTGAAGAGCCAGGCCGATGAGCTGATCAGGCTGTCGGGGTTAGCCGGGTCCATGAAGACCGAAATCTCCCAGCTGAAGGAAGAGAATGGCCGGCTCATGGATGAAGTCTCTGAGGCCAAGAGGGAGATGATGGAGAAGGAAGAAAACTTCCCCGGGCGCGCAGCCGCCTGGGTTGAGGAAAATAAGGCCGAAGCTGCCCGGGTTCTGACGGCGAGCCCTGAAGCCACCATGGAATCCTTCAGGCTTCTATACCGGGAGCCTGAAGGAAAGAAGATGATCACCGCCATTGGATCCTTCGGATTCAAGTGCGGTCAAAAGAAAGACCGGGCAGCTTCCCACCGGATCCTCCTGAAGAGAGACCCGGCCTTCACTGCGGCTTCCTACGGCCTGGCTCCTATCCCAGAGGAAGAGCCCACTCCCCCCTTCCCCCTAGATTAGGATCTTCCCGGCTGCGCCCGGTTGTTTTTGTAAAACATTGAGCAGAAATTTCCCCGGGTATGCCCGGCGTAATTGTAAACATTTGACATTTTTAAATTCGAATGCCATGTTTGTTTTCTTTACCGGTGAATCTTCCCTATCTGCCTGCTTGTTGATTTATACTCTGCTTTTGCTTCTTATAAATCCTGACCGGTAGCCCAATCAGACCACTTCTCATTTGTTTCTGACCGGGAGAACTTCAAAGTTCTCCCTGATCACTTTATCTGAAGGTAGCTCGAGTAGCTTTGACCGGTATAACTTCAAAGTTTTCTCTGGTCATTTCATTTCAAGGATCAGTCCGAGAAACTTTGACCGGTTAAACTTCATCTTTTGCTTTTCGAACATTTTCATCATTTTGGTCAACTTAAAAAATTTGACCGGCCGACCTTTACTTTGGCCTTTTGGGTAGTTTTGCCAACTCTCTGATAAAGTTTAGTGTGACCGGTGAGTTCCTACTCCATGGTTTGACCGGTCAGCTGGCTTGCCTTTCAATGGATGTAGAACTTTCGAAGTTCTGTTGTGCCCATACCCGACCGGGTAATTCTTTTTTTTTTATCGGTAGGTTGTAGATGGAAACACCTGTAACCTAGTAATTCTTGAAGTATTCTTAACCGGTAAGAATACTGGAGATTTAACCATGTCGAATGGTTTCGAACCCTCTCCAAGGTTCAAATGCACCCTTCTTCCAGGGCCCCCTCTTCCGGGTGATTAAGTCTTTTAATGGCCCTTTGATTTCTACCATCCCGGGAAGGCCTCAGCTCACCCCCCATTCAAGTCTTCCTTGAGAAGGGGGATATAGGATGCGCCACGGTGGACGATCCCCTTCTATTTCTTTTAATGGGCATCTTTTTAGTCCCTAATCAATCTAACGGCGCGGGCTGATTCCCCGACACGAGTCGAACCTCATGGGCCCGTGTAAGTACGGTTCGAACCCTCTTCCAGGTCCAGCCCTCTTGCAGGCATACCCTCTTCCGGGCCCCTCTTCCGGGTTTT